AGACATGACGGTACCACCAGTGACCAGTTCAAACGACAGGTCACCTCTTTTAATGGGTCAATTTCCAGGCGATTCAGTGACCACATTCGATAACTGTATCGCAACAGTCCACGTCCTTGATCTGCGTAAATCAATCCCAGCACCTCTGGAATCGATTCTGAAACTTGCATATGATTACGTCATATTCTATGACATCAAAGTATGTTCAACAATAACGTAATGACAATAACAAGCGCATATAACAAACTGACCATTCTGTAAGAATGCTTCCGAATAGACATGCGTATACTTCTGCGCCATTGCATCAACAGAATTCTGTTTCTGAGTTGTTTCGTTCTGCTGCCATTTGTTCCACTCTGTTTCATCACCTAACAAACAGCCAACGATAAAACAAAATTCATTATCAAATAATTAGTCACTCGTAACATTGCACACATAAGCTACGGTTCATTTTGTTCCTGAGCATTTTCCATTCACAGCAAATGAAATGATCTTACATGTGACTCAAAATAAAGTACAATTGCAAATCAATTCAGTGACTGAGTAGATTTTGAAGTTGATTTAGCAATCATTTTTGAAGTATTAAGATGATCATAACAGAACAAACTGTAAAATTCAGTAGCGTTCAAGAAGCGATCAATGCTGTAAGCACCAGTATGAATTGGTATTGGCGATAAGCCTGGGGGACTATCGAGACTTGTATTTGCGCACTCTTGATCAGTTGTACCAAGTGATCGCCTGAATTGTTGAGCATATTAATGTCACTGTATTATGTTCGATACGTGTGATGATACTTGTAACACTAATAATAACTAATAATAATTGTAGTAATAATAACAGCAACAATAATAAGAGCAGTATTGGGAACAGATGAAAAAAGAACCGATGATTGAACGGTATATGTTTCGAAGTATCGACATCCGTCATCGCACTGACATCGAGGCCAGTAATAGACTTATCAATATTCGAATGAGACAATGATCTGATAAAATTCATATCATCGTAATTATCAGCGTACGATTCGGTTTTGATCGGTCTCTGCATAAACGTTGACGTTGTCGGCGATGAAATCGATCGTCTTTCTGAGGTTTCCGCTTGATGAGCCGCATCATTATTCACCTTATTCATCTCCCTGCAATACGTACAATTGTTATCAACTAACCATCGTATACAACTCGAAAATTTGCTGAACTCAGTCAGTAACGATGAGATACATCTTAGGCAATATGCTCGGTTCTTTCGGACCGATTTCCGTTAAACATGAAGCGAAACAAAAAGCGACTGTGGTCGACTCTGCTCGATGGCTCCTAATCCATTTCAAGAGCGACTCCTCACCCGGTGTCCACCAACCCAAACCGAAATCGACTCATCGCTGGATGGTGGCCACCGAACGATGCGTAATATCTGCTTTATCAATGGCTATCGACAAGTTAAGTGCTCAGCCGTTGCCTATTGTAAAAATCTATCGGTATTACATTCTGCTGATGGCATCCCAGCGGCGAAATTTCACGGCATTCAGATTCCAACCGAATAGACATTTTGAATTTCCGATAATGGAATTCTGGCCGACCTTCGAAACTGTTCGGTTGGAATGCGAATGTCGTCGGAATT